TGCGTTTGGGGGTTTGGACCTACGACGGCCCGGAAGTTGGCCGCCCCTGTGGGCCGCTACACACCGATTGTGAAGCCCTTCCAGTGCCCGCGTTACAGAGCGCAACTTAAAACGCTCCGGCGTTGCTGGAGCCACTCAAGCTGACGCACAACCTGCAGGGCCCAGGCGCACCCCCGCGCAGGCCTGGGCCGCGGGGGCTGGTGCGGGCAGAGACCCCTGGCGAGGGTGGCGCTGAGGAGGCAGGGGATGGCAGGCCGGCCTGGGACGGCGGGCTCCTCCTGAGCCGCGTGGGGGGGCGGTGTGCCCGAGCTGGGGGGACTGCCCTCGGGGGGGGGGGCGGCGGGAAGGCCCCCCCCACCGGCGGCCGCGGCGGAGCCCTGGGAGGACACCCTGTACCCTTGCGACTGCGGGACCTTCTTCGCCTTGGCCGCGGCTGGCCAGCCACCTGGAGGCGCACTCGGGGCGGCCACCTACGGCTGCGGCCACTGCGGGGCGCTGCACGCGGCCCTGGCGGCTCTGGAAGAGCACCGACGTGCCAGCCACGGCGGCCCCCCAGGGGGAGCCCGCGGCCGGGGAGCCCGCCGCCAGCTCTGGCTGCAGCAAGATCTTCGGCAGCTCCGAGTGCAGCTCCGAGTGCGAGAAGCTCTTCCGCGCCCCGCGGGACCTGGAGCGGCACGTGCTGGTGCCCACGGGCGAGAAGCCGTTCCCGTGCCTCGAGTGCGTCAAGTTCTTCCGCCAGGAGTGCTGCCTCAAGCGCCACCGGCTGCTGCACAGCACTGAGCGGCCCTTCCCCTGCCACATCTTCGGCAAGGGCTTCATCACACCCCGCAACCTCTCCAGGCACCTGAAGCTGCACCGCGGCACGGACTGACCACGCCCCGCCGCCTGGGGCTGGACTCGGGGTCTCCCCAGGCGGCCGCCCAAACCCAGACAGGGACTCTGAGATGAGGGGACCCTGGCTGGAGAGATGGGGCCACCAGAAACCCATATAGGCCCTGAGCTGGGCACCCCCAAATCAATGGGCCCCTATGCTGGGGAACCAAGAAATGGGCCTCCACAAGTACTTGTCACCTCTAGGGCCCTAATAAAAGACGGGCACCCCTCCCCAAGGGCAGCCTGCCCCCTCCCTGAGAGCCATCATTCCCAACGACCTTGGTCTGGAGAGTGTGGGGGGACCATGCCCCCAATCTCCCTGAATCCTTCCAAATGCACCCCCCACAATCACTGGTGCCCCTAGGTCAGTGGTTCTCAACCTTCTGGCCCTTTAAATACAGTTCCTCATGTTGTAGCCCAACCATAAAATTATTTTTGTTGCTACTTCATAACTGTAATGTTGCTACTGTTATGAATCGTAATGTAAATATTTGATATGCAGGATGGTCTTAGGTGACCCCTGTGAAAGGGTCATTTGACCGCCAAAGGGGTCGCGACCCACAGGTTGAGAACCGCTGCCTAGGTGATGGATAGAGCCAGAATCTGCCTTCCCGGTTGCATTCCCTGTGCTGAAGGAGGACCAGGGTAGATCCCGCTGCCCTCAGCCCACTCCCCAGTCAGGCTGCCCTCCCCTACTGCGGAATGGGTCAACCCTAGTGATCTCCCCACCCCCAAACACTAGACTAGGCTGGTTGGGCATCTCCGCCCCGCCCCCCCCCCCCCCCCCCCGCCCAGTAGGATGGACTGGTCCAGATGGGCAGCCTCCTGTCCACTGGAATGGGCTGGCACTGTTGTGGCCTGCACCGCACCCTCTTCACAGTGAACACGGCAGACACGCCCCTCCTCTTCTGTGTCATTCCCGACCTGCTAGCTCACCTGAGTGGGAGCTGGCAGACACGGGGTCTCCTCCCACTCTGTTCTAGCACCTGTTGGTCTTCCCATCTCAGTTGGTTTGTCTGTCTCTGTGTTCCTCCCAACCCCAAGGGGAAGGGGGGTCTGGCTAGGGGGTTCTCCCCATGAGCCTCGACCTCACCCCCTCATCCCAGTCCCCAGTGTCTCCAAGACCCCAATAAACCTCATCCTGTCAGTCAATGCCGTCTCATTGTCTGAACCTTGGCCCCAGGGTGTGCGGGTTCCTCCCACCTGACTTAGACCAGGCCCCTCACAGAGCGAAGGAATATGGAGTCCTTGAGATGGCGCTTGACCCTATCAACTACATGGAACCCTACCCCTTAAAAAAAAAATTCTGAAAAATAGAGGACCGGGCCTTTGGTTGCCTTAGGTCTACTGAGAATTTAATCCTCGGTTTACAAGGTCTATAAATGAACAGAGAACCATCTGCATGAGGTGAAAGGGCTAATGCTTATAGCAAAAGGATTCCTTTCCAACTCCAGGTGGCGTAAGCAGTGGGGACAGCGGAACACTTGAATTATAATTGCAAACAGATTGTATTTTAGTAAGAGTATTGCTGGTGACTCCAGCCTTGCATTTATGAAGATACTATTTCACCTTGGCTTTTATGTGGATACCAAGGGCCCGGGGCAGTGACTGTGGTCAGCCTGGCTCAGGGTGGCAGAAGTCCTCCCAGGAGCATTTCTCATACCCTTGAAGAAATATTGCATTTTCCATAAAGGATGGTTCCTCCTCTTCAAATCTGAAGCGATGGTAAGACAATCTGCATGAAAGAGCAAAAGGGGATGGACTCGGTGTGCCCCTTGTGAGTGAGCATTTATGAAATGACTATAAGAGCAGTGAACCATTTGGCAAATGCAGACTGAGGTTACTTAGCCAAGACCTATCATTAGAGCTAATGCAGTACCCCTGTGGCTTCATTCACCCCAACATATATCAAGCAGAGCCCAATGCAGTCAAGTGTTTACCTGCTGCTGCTCCCCCCGCTAATGGGTTTGAAATGACTTGCAGGCCCTGTTCCTCTCAGCCTGAGAAATGGGACTTCACACAGCTTAATTACTACTCACCTTGCTGAACATGTGCTACCACCAAGCCCGGTGGGGAAATCAGCCTCAGCCACAAGTATTCCGACTACCACTGACTGAGGGAATTAGTGGTGGCTCCAGGTCTTGGCAACAGGTGGCTATGCTCCCATGGACTAAAAAAGAGGGCTTGGCTCATGGTAGCATGCTTGTGGGAATCACACTGTTCTCTGAATGGCTTGGAATTAACTTCTTAGTCTCTAAAAATGCATTGAGATTGGTATTTTCCAAGTAAAGTGGCCTGGGAGGATTTCATTGCTTTGGTTAACTTAAAATTAAGAATATAAACTAGTAAGCCTGTACTTTAGTGTTCTCTCGCTTTAAATAGTTTACAGACAGATTAAGGGTTGAAAATGGCATTTATTGGTAATGAGCCAGTACTGGAAATTATATTGGAGATGAAACACATATTTTTCTATAAGATTATGTAGCTCAAGATTTTTAGCATTGCTATTAATTTATCTACAATATAAAAGCTAAACCATAAAATAAATCCTTTTCTGCCTCTTCTTAGTTTATATTGGGACTAGAGGCCTGGTGCACGTATTCGTGTACCCGTGGAGTCCCTCAGTGTGGCCTGCAGAGATCAGGCGAAACCAGCAGTCCAATGCAGTCTGCTGCTCCTGCCTGCTGCTCCTACTCATCCTGGCCCACCTGCTGCCGCTGCTCAGTAGGCTTGCTGCCACTCCGATGTGGTCTCCAGGCTGCGGTGGCCAGCCATGAGCCCTGTGTCTGGCACCCATTGGTCAGCTGAGTGGTTCTCCCACTGTGGGAGCACACTGACCACCAGGGAGCAGTTCCTGTGGTCAGTGCGCATCATAGCGACTGGTGGAACAGTGGAACGGTTGACAGGTTGAATGGTTGCTTAGGCTTTTACATGTATACTAGTAGATAAGGAATAAATCCTATCAACCTTCATGAGTTTCTGGCGTTTATGGTCTAAATATTCCATCACAGACACAGATATACAGATATCCTATAAAATAAAAGAGAAACATGCAAATTAACCATCCCTCTGCTATGCTCAAGCCATGCCCACCAGCCAATCAGGAGCAAGTATGCAAATCAACCCTACTAAGATGGCCACGGCCACAGAGCTGGAGCAAGCAGGAGGCTTGGGTTGCCCCTGGCGATGGAGGAAGCCAAGATTCCCACCTGCCATGGCTGGACCTGGGCTCCGCTCAAGGCTACAAAGTTTCAATTATAGAAGATAAATAAATCCCAGAAAAAAAGAAAAAAGAAAAAAAGGAGAGGCTGGGAGCTTGGATCACCAGGGAGTGTGGCCAGCCTGAAAACGGCCATCAGCCCCGAAGGGGCTGTGAGCAGCCTAAAAACAGTCTTCAGCCCCTCACCCAGGCTGGCCACACCCCCATGGGGTGAGGGTCCCTGCTGGAGGTCTTGGCCAGCCTGCAAACAGCCATCAGCCCCTCACCCAGGCTGGCCAGGCACTCCTATATAATAAAAAGATAATATGCAAATTGACCCTGACAGCAGAATGACTGGGAATAACTGGTCACTATGACACACACTGACCACCAGGGGGCAGATGCTCAATGCAGGAGCTGCCCCCTGGTGGTCAGTGCACTCCCACAGGGGGAGCTCTGCTCAACCACAAGCCAGGCTGAAGGCTGCCAGCACAGAGGTGGTGGCGGGAGCCTCTCCCGCCTCCTCAGCAGCGCTAAGGATGTCCGACTGCAACTTAGGCCTGCTCCCCACTGGCAAGTGCACATCCCCCAAGGGCTCCCAGGCTGCCAGAGGGATGTCTGACTGCCAGCTTAGGCCCAATCCCCCCAGGAGCAGGCCTAAACCAGCAGGTGGACATCCCCTGAGGGGTCCCAGACTGCGAGAGGGCTGAGGGACCCCCCCCCCCCCCCCCGCCGAGTGCACAAATTTTTGTGCACTGAGCCTCTAGTAAGTATATATTTGAACACACATAGAACCGAAAACAGCACTTATTTTTGCCGAGGATGTATGTGTCTTTTGAAAAAAACATGTACCTATGAGGGAAATTGTTTTGAGTCGATCAAGTATATTTTGCAAAAAAAATAAAGAGATAAATTAATCTAGGCTGAAGAGGGGGAAACAAAACTGGGCAGTGAATGAACAACTTGGTAAAATCACACTTCACACTGGTTAATGGCACGTGCTTTGGAGTCGGAGCTGTCTAGCTCTCCTATCAGTTGTGACACTTTGGTGAATTTATTCAACATCTCCAAGTCTCCATGTCTTCATCTTTAAAATTGGATAACTCTTATTTGATATGCTTCTTATAAAGATTAAATGAATGTTATAAAAATGTAGCTCAGAATTTTACAGTAATATATTTTCAAAATTGGTACCCATTAGATTTATCCAGTCAAAATTAATTTAGCAAATATTTATTGAGGTCTATTGTGTGCCAGACACTATGTGCTCAGTATTCAGAAATAAACTGGTAAGCAAAAAAGCAAACATGGTCTGTCTTTTTTGAAAAAGGCCGGGGGTGGAATGGGGGCAGTGCTAACACTCTCAGAGATTCCCAGTTTACTGAGGGACATAGTCAATCTCACAGATGAGTTTAAAATTATGATTATGACTATGAAAAGTACATGACACTGTGAAAGCATGTAACAGAGAAGATACATTAGTTCAAGGGCAAAACAATTTCCTTAAGAAAGTGATGATTCCACTGAAATACGAAGGAAAAGTAGGAATCAAATAAGGAAAGAGAGGACAGAAGGATTTTGCAGGCAGCATTCCCAAAGCCCGGTGGGAAGAGCACACTGGAAGCTGCAAAGCCACTGTCCTAGGACCGCTGGGTGTGAGCAGAGGTGAGACTGCCCTGGGAAGGGCTGTTTGTGAAAAAACTATGTATATTCTTGTCTTTATAAGGGCATTGCAGATATGAAAAGTAAAAAAAAAAAAGATGTCATTATTGACTACTAGAGCAGCACAATTGAGAATATAT